ACCCCAGGGCCCGCAGTTCGCTGTAGATCTCAGCCAGGGCGGCGTAGCCCAGCTCCTGCAGGGTGGGCCTCAGCACCTTGCTGAACGACTGCACCACTCCGTAAGGCTCACGCACCAGGATCTGCAAACAAAGCGAGAGACATCGGTGTTGTGTTTGTGATCGCTTTCTTGCGGGTAATGACGTATGGGCACGATTGTCGTCCTGCAACCACAGGTGCTGCACGTGTTCCCGCTTGAAGCCTGTGCTGTGCCTCCTGAGGGGTCGCTGAGGGGTCAACTTCACCCAATGGATGTGCCTTTCCCGATGCACACACAACACACACACACATATGCACACACACACTCACATATGCACACACACACACAAACGCACACACACACTTACACACACACACATATGCACACACACACACATATGCACACACACATATATGCACACACACACACGCGAAAGCGCACGCACACTCAAGTACACCACATGCTTGTGCGTCCGCGCGCCCACGCACCCCCCCTCCCTCCCCCCCTCACGATATGGTTGGCCCTGTCCCATATGGTGGGGTCCAGCCCCAGCTTCTGCTTGGCTATCAGCTTGGCGTACAGCACCTGGCGGACACAGGAGGAGGGGTGGGGGTGTCGGGCGTGCAGCTTGGTCCAGAGGAGCCGCGCGCATGGAGGCAACCACAGTGGCCGGCTGAGTTGGGGACGATTGCGGCTTTGACCCCACCATGGTGGTCATTGCACCCAACAACCCGAATCGTCCACGAGTTCTTTCGCCCACGCCTGTGGAGCCCATTCACCAGCTCCTCATTCCCCGCTATGCCCCCTGCTGCACGCCTGCACCTCCCCCACACACCCGCCCTCCCTCCAATCCGCCCCCATCCCTCCCTGCATCCCTCCATCTCCGGCCGTCTTCACCTCCCGCCCTGCATCTCTGCCCCTCCCTCCCCCCTCCACCCACCTGTTTACTGCGTGGCCCCAGTATGAGGTCCCGCACCACCTTGTTGCCGTCATTCTCCTGGGACGACAACACCTGGGAAACGGCAGCGTGGATCATGCAGGGCGTGCACGGCACCTCCGCTTCGGAACGAGAGCGGGGCCGAGCGCAACAGCTGGGGTCGCTCCAAAGGGGCGGCCGCAATGTGCCGGCCGCACGCAGGCACACAAGCTGGGCGTGGCGTGTGCTGTGGTGGCGCCAAAGGTCGTGCGATGCACTAGGGCTCTCGGCAGACATGAAGCGGCAGCTGCTGTCCATTGTGCTGCGGCCTCGCAGCTTGCTGGCTCCATCGCAGCTGCACCACGTGCCAACGCGTCCACCACCCCGACCCCTCCCCCCCTGTGGCGTGGCCGCGCGCCTGCTCCCTGTAGGGCCGCGGCAGCCCCGTAAGCCTGAGGTATGACGCGTACAGTGGCTCATCCAGCACCACGGTGTCGCTGCGCTGAGCAAAGGAATACATCAGGCTTCGGGGGCGGCGCCGCAGAGGCACGCGAGGGCGGTTCCATGTTTTGGGGTGGGCAGGGGGGGCGAGGGCAAAACAGGGGCCGAAGATTGCGGGGCAGCAGGGATGCAGGGATGCAGGAATGTGAGGGGCAATGACCATGACAAGCTGAGGTAGCGCTGCTGGTCTTGCCGCAGGCCACAGACCTGGCTCAGGGCTTTGTGCGGGCGACGAGCGCACATGACATCGAGCAATGCAGTTGCTGCCTGAGGATCGCAGAGCGGCGGGCGCCGCACTAACCTGGTGCTGCAGCAACGAGGTCCACTCCAGCAGCATATTGTATTCTTGTCATACTGTGGGTCCGGCTCCGCCATTCGCCTTGTATCCAGATGACCAGATCTCTGTCGAAGGTGTCTCAGGCGTTGGAAAGCTGCACGTATGTATGTTGATTGACTGCTTGCATACCTCGGCGCACGGTTTGGTTGCAGGCGGGCGTCATCAACTGGTGTCACTGGAGAGTCACCGGCGCTAGTCCAGCGTGCACCAGACTGCTCTTGCTGGCGTTCTCACAGACTGTGCACATGTGCATGGGCTGTCATGTGCCTGACATTCCTTAGAAGGAGCTCTGCATTCATGGATACCCGGACATATATGCGTACCATGCTTCACAAAATCATAATCAAAAAGGCATTGTGCTGGTGCCCATCTCGCTTGCTTTCCGTGCTGCAGCCATGCCAACCCAGCCATTGATTGGTGGGCCCTGGGTCCCCTCTAGCTGTTCGTGCGTGTTGCATTCTCATCCGCCACCGTCACAGCTTTGGAGCATTGACTGCCCCTTCATGGCATGACGCTCAGAGTTACAGTGGACGACGACATACGCTAGAACTCCACAAGTGGCTGAAAAGCAATCGAGCTGAAGCCAGGCAGCCCCACCAGAAACCCTCAGCGGCAATTGCAACACTCCCCCCTGACTCTGATTTTCCATCACTCTGCCTAGTCTCTCACAAACTCATAGCAATAAAAAACTGCGCAGCTCGCCCAGCCTTCTTGCCCCAGCGGCAGCCCCCTCGTCATGCGTGGCGCATCAGGCGCGTGGTGGTGAGTGGGTCCGCCACCAGGTTGATCAGCGCCGCGGCCTGCGGGCGCCACGGGCAGGGATGACGCATGCATTAGGGCGGTGAATGGGCGTTGCTGCTGGTAGGGTCGCGAGTCATCATTGAGCAGTACGAACAGACGGTATCCCCCCAGCCTGGCTGTGTACACTGTTCGCTACCGCCTGCACAGGCCAGCACAACGCTGTCGTTCAAGACTCACCTGCCTAGGGTCTGCAGTGCCCATGGCTGCTATTGCGTCCGCCATCTGAAAAGACACAGAACCGCCGCCACTGCCGCTGCCGCCACCGCCACCGCTGCCGCCCGTAGTGCGGCCTCCGGAAATGCCGCCGCCGACGTCGCCAGAGCCCGGGTGCCGCGGCTGGCCCGGGACTGCCCCGCGTGTCAGCGGCGCGGGGCGCAGCCTGAGTGTGCGCGCAGCGCTGGGGCGGCCTCCAGGGGACGCCAGCAGGGACCTGGAGGCCTGAAGGCGCGGCGGGGCGGCAGGGCGAGCGGGCTACAGTCTGCCTGGATAGCGGATGAGACAGCAGCCTGGTGTTGATGAACTCAAGAGTGCAGACGCACATCAAAACACAAGCCTCCTGACCAGCCCAGCAACCCCATCGGCGTTGACCGCTGAGGGATGCCTGCAGGAGACAGTCGCGAGCGCACCCCCTGTGGCGCACCTGGTCCGCCTCCTCCTTGACAGGCGACAGGTGCGCGCTGCTGGCCCCCACGACTCGGCCGCGGTGCTCCACCACAGGGACTGCAGCTCCTTCAGGCCCCGATGCACCAACAGGTGCAGCAGACACGTGCGAGGGCAACGCGTGGGCCCGCGCCGCGCCGCTGGATGCACGCGAGGAGCGCGGCTGCTCGTAGCGCGACCGATGCTGGCGGCCCTGCTGCTGCTGGTGCTGCTGCCGCTGCTCGCGCTGGTGGTGCGCGACTGCAGCCGAGACAAGGCAGCCTGCCTGCCGGCCCTCCTGCTGCTGCTCCAGCTGTTGCAGCTGCGCCAGCAGCTGGTCGTTCTGCGACTGCTGGTGGGTCCAGTCGTACGCCGCCCCGGCAGGCGCACCCCTCCTGCCGCGCTGCGCCCCCTCCAGCCACTGGCCGTCCTCCGTCGTCGCCGCAGGCACCCCCCTCCCGTCGCGGGCGCCGAGGCTGTTGACGGCGTCGTGGGCCACGCCGGCCAGGCCGCCCTGGCCCCTGCAGCCAGCAGCGGCTTCATCGTCCGACTCTCCTTGGGAGTAGCGGTGGCTCCTGCCACGAGCAGATGAAGAGGGCGGAGGGGACACCGCTGGAGTGAGCAAAACCACACGCGGCTGCGGCGCATCATTGCAGGGGCGCTGTGCCCATGCATGACAAAGACAGGGCGTGGCTTCTCACAAGCCTCCCGGGTGGGCAAGGATGCCAGGGTTTCAGGCGAAAGCCCTGCTACGCCCACGAGTCTGCGACGCACCCAGCTTCGCTGCTGCGCCGGCCCATGCTGCCGCTCCCCATGGACCGTGCCGCCTCCCCCAGCGCGCGCATGCTCAGACTGCAGCCGGCGGACGAAGACGCGGCGTCGTCGGTGCCGCCACCGCCGCCACCGCCGTGACCGTGGAAAGAGGCGGCTGGCGCACCGCTGGCCATGAGGGCGCCGGCGCCACGCCGGGGGCGCAGCAGCACGCAGCCCTCCTCGCTCGCCACCGGCCAAGAGGGCGCCTCGGCGTGGGGCCCCTCGTCAGCCGCCCCGTCTGTCCGCCGCCCAAGCTGGCCCGCGTTGAAACGCGCAGGGGCCCCGTATCTGGCGCCTGCGTTGTGGCTGGAGCCAATGCCGCTGTCACGCACCACCCTCGAGTCGCGTGACGCCCTACAGAGGCAGGAAAGGTGAGGATGACGCCTGGGCCTGAGCGGTCTCATGCAGGATTGATCAGCTGATCTGACGGGGCAGGGAGCAGCACGTGCAGGCGCTGCCAACCTCCGAGCTCTGCCCGCAACCCCCCCTGCACACCGACTTGCCTCTTCATGGCTGCGGCAGCAGCGGCTTTGACAGTGCCAGCAACAGCGCCGCGGGAGGCTACGGGCACCTGCTGTGCCGCGAGGCTCGCATGTGTTGCTGCCCGGGTCCCCGCCGCACCCAGCTGCTGGTCTGTAGCGGCCCCGCGCACTGGGGATCCCTGGGGCAGCGCAATACAATACGCGTGAAGAGAGGCAAAGGCACTTGTTATGCAAGGGTTGCAGGGGTGCATCAGCAAGCGGATGGCCAGTTCCTTGCCTCCGTGTCCCCACCATCTCAACTGTTCAGCACGCCCACCTTGACAGGGGATCGTCGCGGTTGGGGCGGGACGTCCACACTCCTTGCACTCGCCAGCGCGCCGCCGCCCTCAAGCTTCTCCTCTGCCGCGGCCTTGCTGCGACCCGCCACTGCACGCGCGGGGCTCTCCCACTCCGCCTGGCCCTCCTTGCGCGCCCTGCTCTCGCCCGCGCCGCTGCGCCTGGCCGCGTCGCGGCTGCCGCTGCTGATGCCGCTGTCGCTTTCGCTGCCGTCGTCCTCAAACTCGTGCTCTTGTGGGCCGTCCCCCAGCAACTCCCACAGCCGAAGCTGGTCGGCGGCGCTGCAGAGAATGGCGCCAGATGGAGTTGGGTCTGAGCCGTGAACCGGCAAGCGCCCGGGAAAAGCAAAAGAAACTGATTCCTAAACCGGTGATCTTACACATCGGCCCGGCCAATGCCCCGCCCCCACAACACGGTACTGCAGGGAGCTGTGCACCCCAAGACCGGCACTATGCAGGCGCCATAAGCATGGCGCACCTGTTGGACCCCGGGACCCCCTGCCGCCCGCCCCCGGCTCTCATCGCGCCGACCACGCCGCGAAGCTCGCCCAGGCTGATGGAGGACAGGGAGGAGCGCTCTGCGGCCGCTCGGTGCGGGGAAGAGTGGGGGCTGCCGCGCTGGATGTGGCGGTGGATTGTCTGCGGAAGGGTTGGGGGTGGGCAAGAGGAGCAAAGTAGTGTGGGCGGGTGGGCTTGTTGATGGTTGCAGCGCAGCCATACCTGCTGCCTGGGCAGTGCAAGGCTGGCAGCTACACGTGAGTGCTGCCTTGCTCTCGCAGCCCCCGGCCGGCAAGGGACCTCGCCCCGTCCGCACCTGCAGGGCGTAGTCCAGGCGGCTGTTGGCGGCCGCCAGCTGGCGCAGCTCCTCGTCGCGCGACACCAGCTCTGCCGCCAGCGAAGCGCGCGCCGCCTCCTGGAGCGTTTGGTCGCCGCCCGTGCACATGCATCATTGACATGGTTGCTATGCAGCAACGTACGCCTGGATCAAACACAGCATTAGTCACAGCAGCATTGCAGCCATCGCCAAAGACACTTCATGTGCCAAGGAATGGCCCGCTCGGCTCAAAACCAAACCCCATAGGTCCTTGCCCCTCAAACGTTCACCCACCTTGTGCGCTGCGGTCCTCACGCGGGCCGCGATGCTCTCCTGCAGCTCAGCCAGCGACTTGCGCGCCGCCGCCAGCTCCTCGGCCCGCGCAGCGCGCTCGACATGCAGCGCCCTGTTTGTGGCGACGGCGCAGACATCATTGTGCACGTGGAGGGGGAAACCGGCCAAAGCAGACGGGGGCCAGGCTTGCTGCCAGCTGTTGCGGCCCATGCAGGTGGCGGGACGGGGCACCCTGCGTCACCTACCCCTCAACGTCTGACGCCCAGCTGCGGCGCTCCTTCTCATGCGCAGCCTCTAGCGCGGTCAGGCGCTGGCAGAGCCCCTCTGCACGCGCCTCAGACGCCGACAGCGCCTACAGGGGCATGAATTCAGAGAGAGGCGCATCAGTGCGTGTGCCTGACATAGGGTTGCGCTTGTACGCTTCGGCCGGTGCGGGTTGGAGGATGTCTGTAATGCTATACTCCTGCCAAGCAGGACACCGCGCGACCGCGCACCTGCGCTGCAGCCTGCTTGTCTGTGCTGAGCTGGCCGACCCGCTGCTCCAGCTGCAGCACGCGCAGCCCCGCGCTGTTGGCCGCTGCGCGTGCCTCCTTCTGCACGCTGTCGGCGCGCCGAAGCTCTTCAGACAGGCGGGATGTCTGACAGAGGGCGCGTGGGGGGGCCAGGCCAGGCCAGCAGCAGGTTGTGAGGCTGATCTGCAGGCGTGTGAATTCTGGAGTGTTTGCAGGCAGCAGGAAAGCAGCCGCAAACAGCGCAGCCAAGGGTCAAGCTCGCACCTCCAGGTGCATCCGCCGCCACTCCAGCGCGGCTGCCTGCTCCTGCTCCTGCCGTTTTGCTTCGCTTGCCGCCAGCTGCGCCTGCAGAGCAGCCACCTGGCAACAAGGAGGAGCAATTGTGCAGCACGTGTATAATTCTGCGCATCCGATAGTGCTTGAAACCATCAGCACAATGCGTGTCGCGCAGGGTGCCTGTCTGGTGCGCTCGCCAATGGCCACCCCTGACCCCCACCCCCACCTGCGCCAGCGCCGTGCCGTGCTGGTCGGCCGCAGCCTTTTCCAGGTGCTTGAGGCTCTCAGAAGAGACGGCAAACAGCTCCACCACCGCAAAGCCCAGGCGCTGGGTGGGTCCAGGGGCAGTGACAGTAGAGTTCAGGTGCGTGACGCAAACACGCCCAATGGGGTCACGCCGAGCCGCAGCGCTTGCACAACAACAGCAAAGGCCGTCGCGCTTCAGAACGCATAACCACTGCAAATACCATGATCATGTTCATGTGAAGCCACTCGGCCTCCAGTTGCTCTTACCTTGCCGGTTTTGGGGTTGGTCAGACCCATCTGCGACGGGCGCCACATCGCCGCCGCCCCTGCCTGCTTGCCGCCGGAGGAGGGGCATGGCCCCACGTAGTGGGGCGCATCGCGCTGAGACGAGGCCACCAGCGGCAGCCCGTGGGCCCTGCGGGTCAGCGCCGCAATCGGGCGCCAATGGGTGTCGATCGTTTTGTGTCACGGTTGTAAGTGCCCTGATACTCCAACGCGTTGGAGCATGCACGCTTCACCCAATAAAAGGTAGTCACTTCTCAAGGCCATCCCTCTGTCAACCACCCGGCTCACACACTCACCCGATGGCCCTAAAAGCCAGGAGCCCGCCGGGCGCCTCCTCCACCACAAACACGCTCTCAGCGCACGAGTAGCCCAGGTCAGCCACGCGGAGCCGCAGCACACCGCTGCCAGCGCAGGTGGCCGACAGCTCCCAGCAGTCGCCGCTGCCGGCTGCGGGGTGCGCCACGATGCCCTGGCCGCGCGCGTCGCGAAACACGACAAGCGAGCCGCCACGCAAGTGCGGTGGCGGGGCACAGGGCGCTGGGCGCGGCGGCGAGGGCGGGGCGCTGGCGCTGGCACTCCCGCTGCCACTTGGCGCGTCAGGCTGCTGTCCCGCTGCATCACAGTTGGCGGGCGCCGCGTGAGAGCGCCTGGGATCAGACTCAGCCCTCCCATTGCCACCAGCCTCCCCATCTCCGTTGATGCTGCCATGGTCGTGCCGCCGCCGTTGAATGCTTCGCCGCAGCTGGTGGAGTGCCAAGGCGCCAGCTGCGCCAGCGCCTGTGAGCACGATCATAAATCGTGCGGTCGTTACTAGATAGGTGCCTGTAATGTGTTCAGCAACGAATCAAACCAATCAAGAGAGAGGTTGTAGCTGAAGAATTCGGTCTCAGACCGCAATACGGAGATGTTCAGGCCAATAATCCAAATTCAATTTCCGCTCATGGCCGAAAACTGGGGGCGATGTGGCTCGATGTGCGATGCGAAAAATCAAATGAACAGGAAGCTGCCCCGATGCAAGCATGCACCGTCGGGCAACTCACGTGTCAAAGTCTGTGGATGCTCACGCTCGGATGAGGTTGCGCCTCAGGTATCCCGGGCAACATACGGTAGGACAGTCAGCCTGGGGTTCGATGATCTGGTGGATTCGCCAGTGCCTCATTTTGCCGTGAGCCGTTCCATACCGTGTTATTAAACAGCGCATAGATCACTTATAGGAACACCAGCGCAGCAAGGCAAGCACGGAACGCACCTGCAGTGAGCGCAAGCGCCATGGACGATGGCACCGCTACGACGCCGCTGGCGTTCAGCCGCTTCCTCGACATCATGAACAGCGACCAGGCAAAAGACCTTG